GCCCTGCGCCTGCCCCGGCGGCTCCGCTCTGCCCGCCGGGGGCTGCTCTCCCCTTTCACCTGCGGACGAACAGGGCAGCAGCCCCCGCAGAGGAGGCTCCGGCCCGGCCGCGCTCCAAGCCCGCCGCGGCGCCTGGCCCTCCCTGCACGGTTTATATTCAGCCTGATGACTGCGAGGGAAGTCATAAAAAAAATATTTAACAATCTTATAGACTCATGGCAGCGAGCCAGTGCTAACTACCTTAGCCAATTAAAATGCAAGAACTGCTCTAACTAGCTTTTAGATGGGCACTTAGCAATGTGTTACCTGTCAAGATCTCCCCGCTCGGTGTCCCCGGTGGGTTCGGAGGCGCACGGGAACAGCATGGCACCTGACATTTAGTGCGCTAGCAAACAACTGTTTGACAGATATTATAGTAGCTGTCAAAGCCACCAGATTCCTCCTTTTCCCCAACAGCTGCTGAAGGGGCTATGCAGACTCGCACGCTAATCTTGTGAAATGAAAGGGAATCCCTGGGATGTAGGTGGAAATCACCAAATTGCCCAGTCGCCAGGGAGCGCTTACAGGATAAGGGGAGATTTATCGAGGGAGCTCACCAGGATCAGCCTCCTCCTCCACGGCCTCCTCTGCTTGCGGCGGCGGCTGCAGCTTTGGTTTCTCCTCGGCGCCCGCAGCCTCGGCCCTCTCGGCGCCGTCCGGCTGCGCTTTGGGCTCCGGCGCGCGGTTCTCCGGCTGCATCCCGCCGCCCTGCTGCACGCTCACCTCCAGCTCGCTGCGCGCGTTCCCGGCGGGCTCCACGGTCCCTCCCCGCGGCCGCTCCTCTTCCAGCCCTTGTTTCGGGCCGGGCGCCTCCTTCCCGGGACGCGGCTCGGCCGGCTCCTGCGGGTCGTTGGCGGCCTCTACGAGAGCGGACCTGTCATTCCTCCCGCTCGCGGCCCATGTCGACCACGACCTCGTCGTGCGGGACGGGCGGCTCGTGGCGATGCGCCTCCCCCACGGGCAGGGCGATGCCTGGGGACAGCAGCGTCACGCGCTCGGCAGCGCCAGCCCCACCGCGCCAGCACCTCCCAGCCCCACGGTTGCACTTGCTCCCCAATCACGAGGCTGCAGCATCAACACGAGCAGCACCCAATAAACCATCCCCCATCCACAAGCTGAAAAGCAGAGCGGGATCTTTACTTAAATAACGCCATAGGCCATGCTTTAAAGCACTCCTCCCAATTCCAACGCTGATGCCCTCTCCCCAGACTCCCTTTTACCTTGATCGGGGCGGTCAAGCTGCACTTGCTCCTGTAGCTTCTCCCCTTCTTCGTCTCTCTTGGGTACCTCCATGGGCACCTTGATCTGCGGCTGCTCCATCTCCTCCTTCTCATCCGGCAGCTTCGGTTTGTCGCGGTCGTCCTGGGCCTCCTCCACGGCCGGCTGCTGGTCTGCAAAGGCAGGACGGTTACGGGACGGGGCCATGTGGACACCAGACCCCTCCGCCCGCCGCGGCCCCCGGCTCCGACACGAGCCCCGATCCTTTTATTTTCGCCTGTATCCAGAGGTCGCGGTGGCTGCCGGGGTTGTCTTCCCAGCGGGTAGTTTACTTGGAGTTGGTGCCGCAGGAGGGAGCTGCGCGGCTGCGAGCCGGTGCCACCAGATGGTAGCAGCGCCCCGGGCTCCCCGGCTCCGAGCACGGAGCGACTCCAGGACAGGGACCTGCAGCAGCCGCCAGGGCCACCCCGAGCCCCGTTCCCGCAGCCCAACGCCTTGCTGGGCCTTTCCCTTCTCCCCTTTTCCCCAAGGGCATTTGCTTCTGGATGACACGAGGGAGGACCAGAGCTGCACGGCCCGGAGAAGACACGGAGCTTCAGGAGAGCCATGGAATGGCCACTGCAACCAACGGCCCAGCCATGTAGGGGGATTCTCAGGGTTCTTTACTCAAAAACCTGTTTCTGTAAGACACACCTGAGCCGAACGCGCTGCCGGGCTCAGCACAGGAGCGACCAGGAGGAATTCCTGGCATGTTGCATGGGACGGGACACCCGAGCTCGGAGCCGGAGGCGGCAGCCGAAGGGGGCCCGGAGCAGCGCCCGGCACGGAGCCCGAGCGCTTTCCCAGCGCTGGGCTGCTCTGCGGATTGTTTTCCATCCAGCAAACTCAAAAAATGCATCTTCTCCAACAACAAAAAAAAAAAATTCCCAACTCTTCCCCCCGTTTGTCCTCCCCCATGCGATTTCCTTTGGGGAATTCAGTCTATAAACATCTTTCAATTTTCTCCTCCCCCTCTGCGGGGCTGGTGCGATTTATTACGAGATGAACTCATGGGAAAGAAGAGATTGCCACAACTTCAGCTGCGTGGGCCTTACCCAAGTTGGGAAAAAAGAGGACGAAACCCTGGCCCGGAGGGAGCTGTGCCAGAACTCCCCAGCGCTGCTCCAGGAAGCTGGAATCTCCGGCCTCGAGCGCTGCGCCCGGCCGGGAAGGGACACGCACGCGGCCTGGCCGCTGCCCAGCTCCTCGGGGTCACTGTTGGTGACACGGGGGGAAAGATCCTGGATTTTCCCTGAAATTCTTGTCTAGTGCCCACAGGTCTCTGCTCCCGGAGAGGTCAGCGAGCCAAGTCCCCCGTTCCCAACACCGCGGAAAGGCCGAGCTCGGAAGGGATCCCCGGAGCGCCCCGGCCCCTTGCTGGGCACACGATGGTACCCGGAGCATCCCCAAGGACGGAGACTCCAGCGCCTCCCTGCCCTGGGAGCATCGGCCACGGGGCGAGAGCGGCCGCC